GTAAACAGAGAATGACAAAGCGATAGCGTGAAAACCGTAAAAATGGGTAAGACACGGAAAATGACGAAGGGTTGCAAAAGCGACGAGGGAGGTAGTATAGAATATATTGTGCTACCGATTAGTAACACAAAAAGACCGACAAAGTGGCTATACGCAATTTTCGAAAATCTGAACAGCAACGCGAAAAATACGCAGAAAGATTGCACAGGGAAAACACAGGTGGTGTTTGGCTAGATGGTATAAGCCAGAGTTCAAAGTAAGTTGTCCATTGATTGTATACACATCAATAGCTTTTGAATGATGTGGTTAGAGTCACATGATTGTGGCTAGTATCTTCCCTGTGCGAAGAGAAATAAGCTAAAAATAGCAAAATAAGTTAAAGCTCCTACAACTTTGGCGGCCCTGACCAAGGCAAATAGAGGAAATTGAACGTCTTTCGACTGCGAATAATCGCGAGTAAAAGCAGTCAGTAAGCGGCTTTTCCAGTTGTAGGTTAGTGTTTAAAAGCATTTACTGCAGCGCTCCAGTACGTGGTGTGTTCTCGTCGTTCACTCTTTCTCCATTTAAAGGCCACAAGTATCAGCTGAACAACACCGCGACGTGGCGAGTGAGACACGAAACTAAATGAATGCACTGCACACAACTATTTACTTACAAGTGAACCAATCATAGTTCACCAATTACTTGACACGTACAAGCATAAAACACCCTCTGTTTACGTCTATTGTTTACACCACATTTAAAGTGGCTTGTCGGTTTACACTACGCCCACTTACAAACAAGTATCGTCACCTTTGGCGGCTACACTCCACACCATTACTTCCTCAATTTCAGCAGCCTGCAATACTTTCGATTGCTACTGAGTACATAAATAACAAGGTATCTATTGCAAAACCTAACTGCTTGTATATGGTTATTATGACGGAATCCTTTGAAATCCTGTTAAACTCCTATGTGGGCCCGAAACTTGAATACAAACTACTTGCAATCCTTCCTTTTAACTTGTTCCGATGTGTCATAATTAAGAAGTCCAGCGGCGTGCTTCGAAATACATACTAGAGTTAAGGACAGTGCCCTACCCACTTCAACTATAGTGGGGGCGCTGTCCGCCCTAGAATATCGGCAACGTAAAGGTGACCTGAATTTTATTAGGTGAACTTGAAGGGGAGTTAGGGATAGAGCTACAAGCATTCGTTCTACTCAACCCTAATAGTTAAAATCGAAGGCACAGTTGGAAATAATTTCAAGTGCAATTGCGACTAAGACAAGAACAATGGGAGCATCCCATGGACGTTCCATTATGGAAAACCCGACGTTCCGGGGTGGATATCAACGAAGCCATTTATCTTCTGAGAGAGTGCAAGCGGCACGCGCGTCACACCGCGGTCAACCAATCAGTGCCAACGTGCTTTGCACTAGCAGTCCCCATTGCACTCGAGCACGTAAAGTGGTAATAAAACAAAACTGGAAGAAAGAAAGGGAACAGTGAAAAGAACGTAAAAGGAACCCAGGAAATCAAGACAAAAATATTAAGGAAAATATTGTACTTCAGGCTAAGGTGTGGAGTGAGAAGCTTCAGCTGCAAACCAAGGTAGTCAATGCCTTTTTCATACGTCTTAATCGCCGTTGCCTCAGGCAGGGCATCTGTGGTTTCAATTACCAGACACGCTAACCCAACATCACCCCTTACTTGATGGGCAGTGGAGCCGGAAACCAAAAATGAGATAAGTCTGGACCAATCCGACCTAATGAGATGCGATAAATAAGGACGGGATCGCCCAGATGACGCCGATAGTGGGGGGTAAAGGGCCCCATACAAGGTAGCCTTTCAGGATGTGGCCCACCAAGTCGACCACGCAACATCATGGAGCCACTCCACAACACCCCTCCGCTGTCACCTTGTCTCGAACTGTGTAGGTTGCAAACTTAACAACGTTAGTTTGTAAGGGCTACTGAAAGCAGTGATACGTTAACAAACACCTTGCAATTTAGAATACCAAATGCTCGGCGGATCCTCCACAGTATTCCGAATAAATAAATAAATGTGTATAGTTCTAGATGAGCTAGATGCTGTGCCTTCAAGGGAGCAGATTAATATTTCCCTGAATCCTATGCTCATGCATTGGAGTGAGGACAGTATGTATATGTTCTTGGTTCGCAATTACGAATGGATAGGCATGGTTACGTGTATGGCTGCAGGGGTTGTACGCACTCACCTTGAAATAAATCTAGCCTCCTCAGGGGGCGATCTTTGTACTCGTTGAGTTTATTAGTTACAAAGGATGCGCAGAGCAGTAGTTAGGCATGTTCGATTTGGAAGCAAAATCCATTACACCAAGCACTTCAACGTAAATGCTTTGAATTATTTTGGCACACTTAGCAGTCACATTTAAGGCACATCGAGAGAAACAATAGCTGCAGGATAATAGGGAACAAATAGAGATGAAAGTTAACCCAAAAATGTCAAAATATAAAAAGCGTATTTTAAGTGATTTTAACGGACAAAATAAGTTGCTCAACCTATCTGAAGATTTCCCCTACTGATTTACCCCAAAACTACCAATCACTGCGCTTGATTGCTTATTGGACTTGGCATGATAAAACCCCAGTTACTTTGTTCCTCGTTCACATTCGGACCTTGATAAACCAAAAGAGTTTATCCGTTTTGCATCGCGCAGTGGATAAGCTTGCTAATTCCGCCCGCATTCCCTGTGCACTGCTTATTGGCTGATCGATTGATGAGTAAACCCTCCGCTTCACATCTCGCTAAAGTTAGAACCGCTTTGTTTCATCGTGTTTGTCTGTTAAACATTGTAATTGGCTGCACTTTACATTGGGGAGCCGAATTATTGTGCATATTTACTATGGAAATGGTTTAAGTACTCAGCTCTTCCAACTTTGACTTTGTACTGACCGGGCTGCTTTAGGAATTGCTTGACTTTTGCATTGGCCCGGCTGCTCTATGGTTTGCCCGGGTTTCGACCGAGGTCGGTAATGGTGCTCAGACATGCCAGGATTACCTGTGCTACTTTGGCTACAAACCAATGGTAGCAAGAAGAAAGCCGTCAAAAAAGAACGCCGTGACTAGTAGCGATACTGGGCAAGTCGAACCTTTTGCTGTTGCCACGCAAGACGCAGTTTCCCGCTCCAGGTTGCCTGTTAGTCATACGTCTATTGGTGGTAGCAGAGGTAGTATTGTTGCTAATACCAAGAAGACTGCGTGGGATTTAACTAAATGAAAGAACAACCAGTTGCTGGCTGGAGCGGAAGTGCAGCGTTATGGTCTATTGCTGCTGGAAAGGGCGGCGTGTTTCCATAAACGTTGCCAGTTGTTCCTTGATCGTTGCAACGATAAGCCTGCCTTGAGAATGGCGAAGGAAACACGGTCTGTGATTATGCATTCCCATACGTTGAACATACATGTCACAGTCTGAAACCTAACCATCTTTTCGGGGAAACGGCCAAGAAACCTAAGGCAAGGGAAATCGGAACTCTCAACTCGACCAGCTCAGTCAAGAAGGATGTAAGTAAGTCGAAACGCCCTCGCGAGAAAGATCCGCGGTCGCCTGTTCAAGCATCTGAAGTTCCCAATACTTCGCCTACGAAACTGAAGCAAGCACTCACTCAGGAGTTCGCCTCAAGCCCTCCTATGGAAAATGGACTTAACAAGTTGAGACTTAGCTCGCTTTTGTGGGAGCGGCAGAAGCACAACTGGCGGCCGACGACGGGACGTCGAATTCAACCAAGCTAGTTTAGGTAGCGTACAACGCCTGCTGAATAACCTCAACCGCTTCAACCGCAGCCTATGAAGCCAAAGAAACCGTGTGAAGATGAGAAAAATCCAAACGCAGAAAAGGGCTGCCGTGCTGGATGATCCACAGTAGAAAGTCCGGCTTGTCGACATGATTCACCAGCTTATGGCCAACTTGGGATTCCCGCACTCTTTAGGTACCAAAGCTGCCGTGGAGTACGTGTGTCTCCATTTTACGGTCCTTTTGTTCCACCTTAGGTAAAGCTAAATAGCATCACCAGAAATTCGAGAGAGGTCGCAAAAGCTATTCGAAACAGAAAGATCGACACGGAAAACACAAATTCAATATAAATGTGGTCAGTAGCCATTTTGAGATAACAATGACATGGTAAAATCAGTTTCACGCGTAGAGCTTGCGGCTGCCTGAGCGTGGTTTGAGCAGCTGTGGTCTCCTATTGCTGTTGGTGTTCGTGCTGGTGCATGGGATTAGGCTGGATTGATTCTGCAAAGTTTGCGAGTGGAGGCACCGTCGACAGAACAAGCAGACGTGTCGGCTGAGGTGTGTGTTTCGAGGAGGGTGATGTGCGATTCCGTCGCATGCTCCTTCTGGACACTGGTGCAATTACCTGGTGGTGTTTGTTTGGATTGGGATGCAAAGGCGGATGTATCAGCTGTTGGTATGCATTTTTCAGCCCCGTCCGCAAAGTGCGTGAAACATGTGCGCAATCAAAACGATGATGAGAGCGCGTTGGATGATAGCGTTAGCCATGGGACGGTTATTAGTGTTCCGGCGCATGACGCTGGTGTGTATCTTGACATGGCGGATGTGTGTGCACCGTAGGCTGTATTGTTAGATGAGGCGGATGTGTTATATTGGTTGCAGGATGATTTGACTAAACTTCGATTGTAGCATCTTCACTGGAAGGAAGCGTGTGAGCGGGCGCGTAACTCGGAGCTTGAAAGACGTTTGGTGGTTGGTTTGCTTAGGGCTGCGACAGATGAATCCGCAATTGATATTGTTGTAAAGGCGTTTGCTTTAAGTGTTTCAGATGATGCCTGTGCTCGTGTTGGTTTCGCTATGAATGTTTTGCTTGAAGAAGAGGTGAGTCAGTCACACTTGGTTGTGGACAACTTGTCTACTGTAAACAGGTTGTTATCCTTACCTCCTCCGATCTTGGGAACCCATGGGGAGAATGTGGAGGAGGGAAATGGATCTGCTACTTTAGCTGGTTTGTGGTCATTGGAAGCGGTTGGTGCGACGGAGCACCGGCAAAACGGTGTGTTAGTTGGTGGTAATGATGCGGGTGTGCAGGTTGGATGGTGGCTGTTGGATTCCAATGACGGTGTCGTCGGCTGGGATGCAAGGAGGTCGATTAGTTTGTCGGGACCGACAGTGGTAGATGCGAAGAATTTATTTACTGAGGTTTTGTGCCACTTGGCCGAGGTTAGCGCAAGTTAGGTGGACGGGTTATCGGAGCGTGCACCGGTAGAGTTGACGGACCGTTTGAATTGCTGGGAGTTGGCGCGTGAAGTATTCGAGTGTTTGAGTGAAGGACAAACAGAACATAACGGTTAGTATGGATGGCGAGTTGCGTCATGTGCTAGGTCATAGCGCATCGGGTATGTTTGGGATACAGTCGTCGGTGGGCGATTTGAAAGAGAAGTTACGTCTGGCTTGCGCACTGGTGTGCATCCGAAGGTGCGTCGGACGAGTTTTGTGCGCTTCCGTCTGAATGAGTGTGAGTGAGACATTATGGAGTCGAGTGCGGCAATGAATATGGAGGAAAGGGTACTTTGCGTGCGGCAACTCTCATATCAGCGAATTGAGTGCGGAGTTGGGTATTGTTCATCAGCAGCTTTGAATGGATTTCGGAAAAGCAGGAGTACGGAACGTTTTGGCACCTCAACTGTTGCTGGGGAAGTTTCAACTTTATCAAATTCTTGTCCCAGTTTAATTTCTTTCTATGTGGATTGCGGTTAACCTTTGGGCTTCACTGGTAATTATGCCTTGCGTCGTTTAAAGTCCTGCCCCGTGACTGCTCGTTGATTCGATCCCTCTGTGGTTTGGTCTCACCCGTCGATCCGTGGAACATTATGCTTGTTCCACCTGCCGTCTTTGATGAGCTTGCGGATGTCACCCGCCTTTTTAAGATTTGTTCTGTTCTGGTTGTTACCGCTTCTTGTCTAGAAACTTTAGTAAGAAAGGAAAGAACAAGCAAGGTGAAATTCCTGGAAGGAATTTGGTCGAGAGTAAAATGGACAAAATAACTCGGTTGACCTATCTGGAGGTTTTCCCTACTGATTTACCACAAAAGCACTAACTACTACCCTTTGATTACTTATTGTACGTTGCATGCTAATACTTCAGGTACTTTGTCTCCCGTTCACCTTTGGACCTTGCTTAACCACAAGTGTTTATCCGTTTTGCACCGCGCAATGGTTGAGCTCGCTATTCCCGCTCGCTTTCCCTGTGCACTGCTTATTGTCTGACGGATTGACGATTAAACCCTCCGTTTTAAACCGCGCTGACGCTAGAACCGCTTCGCTTCACGGTGGTTATCTGTTAAACATTGTGATTGGCGGCACTTCGCAATTAAGAGCAGAATTATTGTACACGTTTGGTCTGCATATTGCTTATGCACTTCAGCTCTTCCGGCCTTGACTTTCGGGCTGACCCGAATTTGTTAGGAGTTGCTCAGGTTCCAAGACCGATTTGTCGGTAACGGACAACTGAGGCGACGTACTAATCTAAGAACTTACAAAGTAACAAAAAGTGAAGCCAAAAGCTTTGCGCTAAACTTTAGCTCTAACGCCAAATTTCAAACGAAGTAAATTTCAGCATAAAAGATGACCATATTATTTGGCGAGAATATTGTGAAACGTGATACAAAAATAAAATACGCCGAACTAGTTTTAGCCGCTTAAGTTAAAAGCAATGCGATATTTGCAGTATTTTGCGAGTGATTTGCGATTGAACTGAGTTCTACAAATGCCATTATTTTTCTTCGCAAGCATAGAGCTGACAAAAGAAAAGCAATTGTAAAATAGAGGCAAACGGTATGAGTACTTAGTAGTTATCCATGTCTAGAAATGCTCTATAAGTCCTAAGGTGCTTCGCAGTGACTAGGTACGGCGCAGGTAGCCGAAAGGCCAACCTTTCAGGCATACATAGCAAGCATACATAGACGCCTTCGTAGAGTGTGCACTGGACTTGTGGTTCCATGTCAAAGGGACAGCTAGTATTCTTTGCTGGGACAAGCGTGGCACTACGTTGCATCTCAAAGTGTTGGGTGTTACTGGGCCACTGTCCTAAAGGCGCAAAACTGTGTATGTTGAAAGATTTATGGGTAATTGTCGAAAGTTGGACTAATTCCTGATCCTATCTAGCGAAATCCGCAGAAACCAGGTGTCACCTTGAACATTGATCTCGCCCCCGAAGTAATATCACCTGCAAACTAAAGACGACACGTCGTTTCTCAGGCTATTCATTACCATACAGGGTGAACAACAGTGGGCCAAGGACGGACTACCACGGAACAATATTTGGAGCCAAATTTCAAAAGGATAGGCTCTAGTCCACGCGAACGCACATTCTGCTATCCACCAGAAAAGGCATCATCCACTGTAGCGCTTATCCGGGGATACCGTATGACCGCAATTTTCACCATAGGTGAGACGGTGGGACCGTGTCGAAAATTTCTGCTGACTCAATGAATAAACATCATCCGACTTGACCCGATCTAACGCGTCTGCCTCGCATTCCCGAGCACATAACAACTAGGTAAGCCAAGTGTAGCGGTTACGAAAACCTTGCTGAGACGAACTGAGCTAGTTGCGCTTCTTCAAGCGGGCTTACATGGTTTTTCTTGCTACCTTTTCCAGTCAGTTGACTGGCATAATATTCAAGCTGACTGGTCCGTAATTCTCAGGAAGGTATTTGCCACCCATTTTGAAAATAAGATATACTATCGCTTCTTACTAGTCAGAATTAAAGAAGCAGTAGAGAAGGGCTTCTCAAAGAAACGCTTGCTCGGCTCACAAAGCTTAGCTGCAAGTTCATACAGCAATTTGGGGTGAATAGCGTTTGCCCAAAGCGCATTGGTAGGATTTGTTTCCCGTAGTAGAATGAGCACTTGCTTCTCGAGAACGGAAATATCGGTTAGCCAAGACTCAGACGGAACTCACATCTCCAGATCAATAGGAGGCCAGCGAGATGATGTAACGAATGACAGCGAAGAATGCTCCGCAAGCATACAGATACTAGCATGTACCATTTCAGCAGCATCGCCGTTAATATCAAACAAGCCTGGAAGGAGTGAATACAGTGTACTCCGCCTCTTGATATAAATAAAGAAGCTCTTTGGATTTACCGAAGCCGTCGGCCAACTACATTCCATGACATAGTCATGATACACGCAGGCGTTATTTGTAGACATTCCCTGCTTCTTGCTAGTGCCGGGAAGTGCTCTCTGGGGAAGCTGATCGACAGGTCTTCCAGCTCTTGGTCCGCAAGTTCCTCAGTCGACGTGCAACGGAATCAACCTAGACAGGCTTCGCGCCTTTAGCCCACATCTCAGAAATGAGGATGTGAGGGATAGACCTACGAGAGGTAGGATTTGACGTAATTTAAGTGGTCTGCAAGCCATCATCTGTAGAGATTATGCAGGGCGAAGTTGCGAGCGCAGCTCTGAGCACGGGGAAATCTGCTCGCCATATATTCAGACTAGGGATGTTGTCACAAGTATAGCCACAGAAAAAAGCACACTTGTATGACAAACGGACTTGATCGCTAGCTGCCTGAGGCGGTTCATAACAACATTGCTTAAAAAGCCTAGCGAAGTAGCGAGGGTTTGATCTAGGGGGACGCGGCTTGGCCATCCATGAACCGAGTGTTCTGACCAACTGAGTAGTTTACATTAAAGAAGAACGTTATATCCAGAAGAGTAGTGGCCAGCCCACTCGTTGTGGCTGACATGAGAAAGGTCAACCAGTCTGTTACCGTAGTAGACTGGCCGCGAGGGATGTCAATTAGATCATTCAAATTGATGGCCGAAGCCCAATATATTAACAAAAGGGTTAGCTGCTTGAAGTGAAGTGCTTTAACAAAACGGGCCTCTTTAGCTCCACGCTTGGAGTGAAAGGTGCCCATTTTGTAGGTAATTAGGTAGATTTGTGTTAAAAAGCTACGCGTCCGCAACCACGGTCAAGTGCGCTGTCAAATCTCAGTAAGACGCAGCCTGGGTGGCCTATCTAACTGTCCATAATTCCTGATGACAAGCACGTTAATGCGAATGCAAGGACATCTGATCAAAGACGGTCCGCAAGACAGCCGCCCTCGCACCTCTTGTTTTGCAAGTTACGCACGTTACTGAAAACTACCTGGATATCATCAGTATAGTGTGCCCGGAGCGTGCACCTTAGAATGGGTTCTGGCAGGGTAGTAGTGGGCCGCCAGTGGACTCAGAGTACGCTACGCTCTCACAACCCGCTTTGTGTATGATTGGAAAGACATGCCGAAATACGTGGTTGACGCTCAGATTGAGGAATATTTCAAGCGACGTTTGGTTTCTCAACTGATGAGCAAGCTGGGACCTTGATCCGTCCAACGTATCTGTTAAGGCCGATTGTGAAATTCCGCTTCATAATGGTTCCCGGCTTCCACGTAAGGATCAAGAAGTGAAAGAACTGACAAAGCACTTTCCTTATGCTCTCCACAACTCAGTGATCAGATGCAGCAGCTATAGGCCTCGGCGTAATATACGGACGACTTTTGATAAGCACCCGAACACGAGTACGATGTGTCTCCTTTTACCGAGAATATACCTGTTATTTATGTATCTATTTATTTACGTAGTCCGGTAAAAATGGCCACCCAAATTAAATGGGTAAAGGAAAGTGGACAGGTTATGTTCTTTGCAAAATACCCTTGTACGCACTTTCATAACGATTCCATTGAAGTAAAACCGCATGGTTTTCCAGGTGCTACTGTCAGGAATCTGAGTGTACTGGGGAACGTCCCAGTTACTGCACCAAGCCCTTGAGTGCGGCTACTAGGTGTGGCACTCTCTGCACCGGAGGAACGTATAACTCTCATACAGTTTGCTTTTAATCTTAAAGGTACAAATATTAGTATTTAGCCGGACCTTCCTTTGGCCGATAGGCTGAAGCGAAGGGAGGTCAACAAGGACCTCAGAAGCAGACGAGCGGCCGGTGAACAAGGTATCTGGCTATTGGCTTTCCGGGTGGTCAGCTGGCGGTCAGTTACCGCCCTACCACTGCACAACCTGGTAGCGCACGACGTGGACCTAATGAAGACCTACAGATATGCTAAGCAATGTACGCAGCCAAAGGAATAAAGTATACTCGTTAGGTCTGCTGGTAGCTGGGATTCCTCCCGACACACTCGGATTAACTGAAACGGCTGTATCAGGACGTCACGGGTGATAAAGTAGCTCTATCTGGGTACGCACTATTTAGATGCACT